TCTGTGTATGAGTACGGCTGGGCGTGAGTAAGTCTGTGTATGAGTAAGTCTGTGTATGAGTATGTCTGAGTGTGAGTAAGTCTGAGTATGGGTAGGTCTGAGTATGAGTAAGTCTGAGCATGAGTAAGTCTGTGTATGAGCAAGTCTGAGTATGAGTAAGCCCGACAGGAGGGGAGGAGAAAAGAGGAGGAGGAAGGAGAAGGAGTAGGAGGCGTCCAAGTAATAACAAGAACCCCATCTTAGGATATAAGGAAAAAAACATATAAAACATCCGAACGCCCTTGCGCGCGTGCCGTCGCGAGAACCCCCTGCCAAGAAAAGGGGGCGAAGTGCCCGCGCGCGCGTCGTCGCGCGCGCATGCCGAAATCTTTCAAAAACAGTCGGTTGCGCAACGAGTTCAAAACCGAGCATCAAAAAAAAAACATACACAACACACATGGTTTCGCAACATCAGTGTTCAACAAAGCGCACGCTCGCGCTCTTGCGCTTTCTGGAGAAAGCCATCGGTTGTAAAACATGTTCATGGATTTGTGCCAATAGGGCCTCTGGCGCCGCATGCCGACATCATTTGCACACCCTTGCGCGCGTGCTAGGGGGCGCGATCCGCGTCAAAGAATACCGCGCGGGCCACTCGCGGCTGCAGAGATGGACCAGCTAACGCCAAGCGCTCATCGCAATCGCCACCGGATGGGTTGCGCAAACCAAGTTGCGGGCGGGTGGCTGGGATGGTTGCAAGAGCCAGGGATGCGTCAACTCGTTTGTTAAGTTCAAGTGCCCCCACCCCCACCCCACCCCAGGATTATCGGCACCTCTTCTCGTCTTGCAATTTACATGCGATTCTGCCCCATCGTCCATCCGACGTATGAATTCATACCATCCCAGCCCAGCCGGCATCGGCCCCCCCCCCATCCTCTGCAAAAAAATCCGATGCGCGCCTTCGTTTATCAGAAGTCATAGGTTTCCGAGAACACATTGGGAAACTGAGAAGATACACGAAACAAAAAATGACGAAGTGCACACGCGCGCGTCGTCGCGCGCGCATGCCGAAATCCTTGCACAACCCATGGTTTCGCCAGGATGTCAAAAATCGAGTGTCCGAAAAAAAAACATCGAGACACATAGAGTTTCGCTGCACGGCAAAACAAACGTGCGCTCGCGCTCTTGCGAATTCTTAAGGGAACCATCGGTTTTCCGCGTCTTCATAAAATTGTACCAAATAGGCCTTGCGCCCGCGCATATCGAAATCGTCCGAACGCCCTTGCGCGCGTGCTGGGGTGGCACGAGCCGCGTCAAATCATACCATGCTGGCCACTCTCGCGCGACTGTCGCGCGCGCATGTCGGATTCCTTCCAACACCATCACCACCGACGCGACGACGCCGTCATCGTCGTCGGCGTCATCAACATCGGCGCCGTCACTGGCTGTCCCGCGATCGTTGTCAGCATCGTCACCAGCATCGCTACTATCATCATCGCGTCTACCGTTGTCGGCGTTGCCATGATCCCGCGCCCGCCCAAGTCGCCGACTCGCACTGATGTGCCCGCTGGGATGTGCCGAGGTGTCAGCGCCACCGCGTTCGCGTCGGTCGCGCCAAACTAGCTGGCCGCCGCGCGCGCGAGCACGCACGGGCCAGCGCGGCCGCAAAGATGCACTAGCCAACACCATGCACTCATCGCAATCGCTTCTGCATGGGTTTTGCCAACCAAGTTGCGGGCGGGCGGGCGGCGCGATCGCGCGAGCAGCGGAGTGGACACCTCCAGCTCGGCAAGCTGCACTTTCTTTTCTAAAAGAGAACAGGTTCTACCCCGCCCCCCCCACCACCACCACCACCACCACCACCACCACCACCACCACCACCACCACCACCACTCCACCCCCTGGACTTAACTGCCCACCTTTTCGAATTGCAATGTTCATGCGATTCTGTCCCATCGTCCATTCTCAACATGAGTTTACATTATCCCAGGGGGCCAGTATCGCCCCCGCCCGCCATCCTCTGCACAGAAAATTATGCGCGCACACTCGTTCATTAAAGAATCAAGATATGTTCAGAATCCCATGCGAAAGATGTGACGGAGTGCACACGCGCGCGTCGTCGCGCGCGCATGCCAAAATCCTTGAGAAACTCCCGGTTCGGAAGGATGTCAACATCGAGTGTCCAAAAAGCATTCAAAAATACATGGTTTCGCAACACTGGTTTTTCTCTTTTAATTTGTGTTATATTTTTTGTTCGTTTGCGAATTCTCAAGAAAACCATGTTCTTCAACCTTCTCATGAAATGCTACCAAGCAGGCTTCGCGCGCGCATGCCGAAATCGTTCCAACGCCTTCGCGCGCGTGCCATCTCGAGAACCCCTTGCACTAATGAAACGAAGTGCACACGCGGGCGTCGTCGCGCGCGTGCCGAAATCCTTCAAAAACGCTCGACTTCGGACGGATTTCAAAATCGAGTGTCCAAAAACAACAACAACAACAACAACAACAACAACAACAACAACAACAACAACAACAACAACAACAACAACAACAACACGCTGTTTCGCAACACGGATTTCATGTTTTTGATGCGCGCGCGCTCTTGCGAATTTTTGCGAAAACCACACGTATTCAACATTTTCCTAACATGCTACCAAACGGGCTTCGCGCGCGCATATCGAAATCGTTCGAACGCCCTTCCGCGCGTGCTGGGGTGGCACGATCCGTGTCCAATAATACGTAAGCCAATCTCTCGCGTCTGCCGCGCGCGCATTTCGAATTCCTTCCAAAACCTTCCTGATCGACGCGAAGACGCCGTCATCGCCGCCGGCGTGATCAGCATCGGCGCCGTCATTGGCTGCCCCGTCGTCGTTGTCAGCATCGTCACCAGCACCGCTACTATCATCACCGTGTCTACCGTTGTCGACGTTGCCATGATACCGCGCGTGCCCAAGTCGCCGACTCGCACTGATGTGCCCGCTGGGATGTGCCGAGCTGTCAGCGCCACCGCGTTCGCGTCGGTCGCGCCAAGCTAGCTGGCCGCTGCGCGCGCGAGCATGCGCGGGCCAGTGCGGCCGCAGAGATGCACCAGCCAACACAAAGCACTCATCGCAATCGCTTCCGCATGGGGGTTGCAAACCAAGTTGCGGGTAGGCGGGTGGGATGTTTGCGCGAGCAGTGGAGTGGACACCTTCAAGTTGAGCCAGTGATTGATTCTCCTTTCTAACAGAAGAATAGACTCGACCCCCCCCCCGGAGTTAACGGGCCATCTTTTCGCATTGCAATTTACATATGATTCCGCCCCGTCGTCCATCCGACCTGTGAATTCATACTATCCCAGCCAGGCCGGTATCGCCCCCACCCGCGATCTTTTTCCAAAAAATACTATGCGCGCAATCTCGTTCATCTGAAATCATAAGTTTTCAAGAACCCCTTGCCGAAAACGGACGAAGTGCACACGCAAGCGTCGTCGCGCGTGAACTCCAGAATCCTTCAGAAACTTTCGACTTCGAAAGGATTTCAAAATCGAGTTTCCAAAAGAGAACATACAAAAAACAAAGGGTTTCGCAATATTGATTTCCTAAAAAAGATTACGCGCACGTTCTTACGAATTCTTGAGGAAACCATCGGTTTTTCAATACGTTCAAGAAGTGCTACCAAACGGTCCTCGCGCGCGCGCGTGTCGAAATGTGTCGAACGCCCTTGCGCGCGTACCGTCGCGAGACTCCTTTGTAAAAACATGGGACGAAGTGCGCACGCGCGCGTCGTCGCGCGCGCATGCCGAAACCCTTCAAAAACCTTCGGTGTTGGAAGGAACTCAAGATCGAGTGTCCAAAAAACATACAAAAACAGAGGGTTTCGCAACAAGTCTTTTCAACAAGAGCGTGCGCGCGCGCTATTGCGTCGTCGTCGTCGCCATCCTCCCTCCTCCCTTGTCGTCGTCGCCGTCGCCGTCGTCGTCCTCTGTCTTTCCTCGTCGTCGTCGTCGTCGTCTTGGCGTCGTCGTCGTTTCCGTCGTCGTTGTCGCCGTGGTCGTCCTTCCTCCCTCGTCGTCTTCGTCGGCGTTTCGTCGTTGTCCCTCCTATTTCGTCGCCGTCGTCGTCGTCGTCGTTTTCCCTCCTCCCTCGTCGTTGTCGTCGTCAGCGTCGCCGTCCTCCAACCTTCTTCGTCGTTCGCGTCGTCGCCGTTCTCCCTCCTCCCTCGTCGTTGTCGTCGTTGCCGCCGTCGTCGTCCTCCCTCCTCCCTCGTCGTCGTCGTCATCTTCGTTGGCGACGTCGTCGTCGTCGGCGTCGTCGTCGTCGGCGTCGTCGTCGTTGTCATCGTCGTCGTCGGCGTCGGCGTCGGCATCGTCGTCGGTGTCGTCGTCGTCGTCGTCGTTGTCGGCTTCGTCGAAGTCGTTGGAGACGTAGTCGGTGTCGTCGTAGTCGTTGTCGGCGTCGTCGTCGTTGTCGCTGTCGTCGTCGGCGTCGGTGTCGTTGCCAAGTGCCATTTGGTACCCACCGTCACGGTCTTAAAAGGTTTTGCAAACCAAGTTGCGGGTGGGTGGGTGGGATGTTTGCGCGAGCAGTGGAGTGGACAACCCACTGCGAACAGAAACTATTTGCACCACATAGAATGCACCGCATAGATTCCAGCACATAGACTGCTAGAATACACGGTTTGGGATCCACGTTGGCTAAGGCACACACGTGTATGAATGCATACATTTCGGTGTTTTTTATGCATAGATGTACACATGTATTGTATCGCGTAGACGGTGCCATAATCGTTGCAGCACATAGATTGCATCATGCACCGATCGCAGCACAAAGATCGCACATTGAGAGCGCAAGAAAGCAAATTCTGCTGTCCATGCTGGCAAAGACACTAGGACTCAGCAATGCGCGGAATTGTTGCGTGAACACTGTACCCGACTGAACGAGCAGAGTTAGGCAATGTAGATGCACAGTATTGTTCGCGTTTCCTCCACCGTCGGTTGCCCTCGTCATCATCGTTTTCTCGCTCTCTCTCTCTCTCGTGCTCGAGGGCTCGCGGGCGCCACCCTGGGCCTGACGGAGGCAGCCATGCCGGCAGGCGCCGCCAGCGCCGCATTGCTGCCGTCGTTCGCCCTGGGTCGCCAAGTCGGCGCCACCGCAGCGGGGGTGCCTGCGAGCTTGTACCAGGTGAGTTGCTCACCCGGCTTCCAGTGCATCTCCAAGGCCCGGCGCCGCGGGCTTGTCCACTACACCACCCCTCAGTCGCAGCGGCCCAGGATGGGAGGAGTGGAGGGAAGGGCGGTGGCACGCAGATTCCCAGCTTCCCGTGGCGCTCGAGATCTATCTGTGCATTCCGTGGGCCCCGGGTGGCGGGGGAAGGCGAGGCGAGGCGCCGGTCGCTCGCCCCAGGAGGGGCGGCCATACAATGGCCCAGGGGTGGCGCCAGAACGCCATGAAATACGACTATGCGATTGCGGCCAGCCGCTCACCTGTAGGCGTGCGGGGATCGGAGCCGGAGGGCGTTGGAGTTGGAGGACGTGGGAACCGTAGTTGGAGGCGGGAGCCGGGGTCGGAGAGAAAAAAATGCAGGAGGAGGAGCAGGAAGAGGAGGAGGAGGGAGGAGGGAGGAGGGGGAGGAGGAGGAGGAGGAGGAGGAGGAGGAGGAGGAGGAGGAGGAGGAGGAGGAGGAGGACCAGTGTAAACCCGAGAGTCATCAACGATGTTGGAATAGACCCTCCCTCCAAGCTCCCTCTTCATAGGCCCCTACAAGGGTTCATTTCCACTGAGGGAACTGCCTCGTTGGAAGACACCCGTTTGAAGACCCTGAAGCATGCTAACTCATAGTTCTCGGGAGTCCAACGCCACGGATCAACTTGACTGTTGCGTCTTGACGATCCTGAATCGCGCCAGAACGCCATTCATTGGACTTCAACACCGCGAATCAACGCAACTATTGTACCCCATGTTAGAACGAATGTGCGCGGCGCTCAGGCGAGAGCCACATTTTGAAAAGGAAGCGCCCTCAATCCGTGAATTTCGTTCAAATGTTTATACATACATATATATATGTTATATTTATACAAATAAACATACTAATTTGTCCCAGCCATCCTGTGGTGTTGGGTCCTCGTTTTGAACAGACAGCGCCCGCCTCCTTCCTCCTCCCGCGCCCCCCCACTCCCCTCCTCCCCCTCCTGCTTTTGCTCTCCGCATGTCTCGTTTAGGCAACCCCTCACAGTTTCGTGGCCCCTAGGGAGCTCCACCTAAGGTCCAAGTGGCGCAGCTCGCATGGCGCCACCGCCCCATTTGGCACACCCCTCACACGTTTCGTGGCCCCATAGGGAGCTCCATTAACGGTCCAAGTGGCGCAGCTCGCATGGCGCCACCGCCCCATTTTGGCACACCCCTCACACGTTTCGTGGCCCCTCAGGGAGCTCCACCTGAGGTCCAAGTGGCGCAGCTCGCATGGCGCCACCGCCCCTTTTTGGCACACCCCTCACACGTTTCGTGGGCCCCATAGGGAGCTCCACCTAAGGTCCAAGTGGCGCAGCTCGCATGGCGCCACCGCCCATTTTGGCACACCCCTCACACGCTTCGTGGCCCCATAGGGAGCTCCACCTACAGGTCCCGTGGCGCAGTCGCATGCGCCACCGCCCATTTTGGCACACCCTAACACGTTTGTGACCCTAGGGAGCTCCCTAAGCAGTGGCGCAGCATAGCGCACCGCCCTATTGGCTACACGCTCGTGGCCCCATAGGGAGCTACACCAAGGTCCAGTGGCGAGCTCCATGGCGTGCCCCATTTTGGTACACACCTCGCACGATTCGTTGCCCCATGGAGAGCTCCACCTAAAGTCCAAGTGGCGCAGCTGCATGGCGCTACCGCCCATTTTGGCGCACCCCTCACACGTTTCGTGGCCCCATAGGGAGCTCCACCTAAGGTCCAAGTGGCGCAGCTCGCATGGCGCCACCGCCCCATGTTGGCACACCCCTCACACGCTTCGTGGCCACATAGGGAGCCCCACCTAAGGTCCAAGTGGCGCAGCTCGCATAGCGCCACCGCCCCATTTTGGCACACCCCTCACACGTTCCGTGGCCCCATGAGGAGCTCCACCTAAGGTCCCAATGGCGCAGCTCGCATAGCGCCACCGCCCCATTTTGGCACACCCCTCACACGTTTCGTGGTCCCATGAGGAGCTCCACCTAGGTCCAAGTGGCGCGGCTTGCATGGCGCCACCGCCCCATTTTGGCACACCCCTCACACGCTTCGTGGCCCCATAGGGAGCTCCACCTAAGGTCCCAGTGGCGCAGCTCGCACGGCGCCACCGCCCCATTTGGCACACCCCTCACACGCTTCGTGGCCCCATTGAGAGCTCCACCTAAAGTCCAAGTGGCGCAGCTCGCATGGCGCCACCGCCCCATTTTGGCGCACCCCTCACACGCTTCGTGGCCCCATAGGGAGCTCCACCTAAGGTCGTGGCGCAGCTCGCATGGCGCCACCGCCCCATGTTGGCACACCCCTCACACGCTCGTGGCCCCATAGGGAGCCACCTAAGGTCCCAGTGGCGCAGCTCCATGGCGCCGCCCCAGCACACCCCTCACAGGGCCACACATGGCGCCACCGCCCCATTTTGGCACACCCTCACACGTTCGTACCTTAAGTCCAAGTGGCGCAGCTCGCATGGCGCCACCGCCCCATTTTGGCACACCCCTCACACGTTTCGTGGCACCATAGGGAGCTCCATGTAAGGTCCCAGTGGCGCAGCTCGCATGGCGCCACCGCCCCATTTTGGTACACACCTCGCACGATTCGTGGCCCCATTGAGAGCTCCACCTAAAGTCCAAGTGGCGCAGCTCGCATGGCGCTACCGCCCCATTTTGGCGCACCCCTCACACGCTTCGTGGCCACATAGGGAGCTCCACCTAAAGTCCAAGTGGCGCAGCTCACACGGCGCCGCCGCCCCATTTTGGCACACTCCTCACACGCTTCGTGGCCCCATTGGGAGCTCCACCTAAAGTCCAAGTGGCGCAGCTCGCATGGCGCCACCGCCCCATTTTGGCACACCCCTCACACGTTTCGTGGCACCATAGGGAGCTCCATGTAAGGTCCCAGTGGCGCAGCTCGCATGGCGCCGCCGCCCGATTTTGGCACACCCCTCACACGCTTCGTGGCCACATAGGGAGCTCCACCTAAGGTGCCAGCGGCGAAGCTGGGTCTCACCGAGTTTATCCGCGAGGCTTGACCTGAGGAGCGGCCCGACCGAGCCTCGCCGTCTCTCGACGGTCTGACCGTTTGGCCTCGCCCTGCGGGCGACCCGCGCGCGTTGCTGGGACCCTCTCGGGGCGACCAGCGCGCGTCGCGGGAACTCCACGCGGCGCTCTGCCCAGCGCCTCGCTCGCCCTCGTCGTCGCTCTGTCCGGCGGCCAGCGCCTTGCCCGCTATCAGCCTGCCAGCTTGCTCTCTCTGCTCCGCGCAGCGGACGACCCGCGCGCGTCGCCGGGACCCCTTCGAGGCGACCAGCGCGCGTCGCGGGGACTCCGCGCGGCACCGCGCCCGCAGCCTTGGACATTGGGCGTGCACGGGCAAAGAGGGAGAAAAAGAACGGGAAGGAAACGGGCGCGATCCTCGTGAGGGACGTGTCGACATGGGCGTCGACATTTATGCACGTAGACTGACGCGCGCGCAGACTCATTCACAACCAGACTCACTCGCGCTCACACACACACACACACACGCTCTCAGTCTCTCGCACACAGACCTATCGTCTTCGTTCGCGTGGTTTGCCCCGCCACGCATGTCGGCGCGCCCTCACGCGGTTCGTGGCCCCATAGGGAGCGCGGCCGAACATGATATTCACAATTGCGGTATTCACAACTGCATGTGGTTGGGTCCTTCGCCAGGATACTGCTTTCTTATTGCTCGATAAGAAAGTTGCGCGCGCGGCGCTGACGCGAGAGCCACATTTTGAAAATGAACCGCCCTCAATCCGTGAAAGTATTGCACGTCTTAACAACGGATGCGCGCGGCGCCAAGGCGAGAGCACATGTTGAAAAAGAACGCCCTCAATCAGTGAAATGATCGCGATTTATTTATTTATATATATGTATAGTAAAAAATGGCCGAATGTACGTGGCGCTAATGCGAGAGCCACATTTTGAAAAAGAACGGCCCTCAATACGTGAGGCTCGTGCACATTTTAAAAAGAGAAACAAATGTCCGCGGCGCCAAAGCGAGAACCACAAGTTTTGAAAAGGAACCGCCCTCAATCCGCGATGTTTGTGCAAATTTGGGAACTGCTCCAAAAGTTTATGCTTCAGGGTCATAAATGGTGAGGAGGTCTCAGGCGAAGGACCTGGCCCGCCCTAAAGAGTGGCCTCGGGGTGCGACAGGGAGAAGTTATTCATAAGGAGAAGGAATGGAGAAGAAGGAGAAAGAGGAGGAGGAGGAGGAGGAGGAGGAGGAAGAGGAGGAGGAGGAGGAGGAAGGGGAGGAGAAGAAGGAGGAGGAGGAGGGGAAGAGGAGGGGGAGGAGGAGGGGAAGGAGGAGGAGGAGGTGGAGGAGGAAAAGGAGGAGGAGGGGGAGGAGGAGGAGGAGGAGGAGGAGGAGGAGGAGGAGGAGGAGGAGGGGAGGAGGAGGAGCAGGAGGAGGAGGGGAGGAGGCGGAGGAGGAGGCGGAGGAGGAGGAGGAGGCGGGAGGAGGAGGAAGAGGAGGAGGAGGAGGAGGAGGAGGGGGAGGAGGAGGAGGAGGAGGAGGAGGGGAGGAGGAGGGGGAGGAGGAGGAGGAGGAGGAGGAGGAGGAGGAGGAGGCGGAGGAGGAGGAGGAGGCGGGAGTCGGGCAAGGAGGCGCAGGGCAAAGGTTCTTTTTGCCTCTGAAGGTGGAGAGCTTCGGCCAGGGCCACGACGGGCAGTTCGCGGGTCCGCCCGGGAGCGCGGAGGCCGCGAAGATGGGCCGGGCGTTGAAGGGGGCCTGGGAGGCCTGCTATCCAGGGGGCACCGATCTGTCGATAAAGAACCGATCATCGACGAGCCCCTCGCGTTGTGAAAAAGTCGCGACTGGAGGGTTTTTCACTATTTTCGGCCTCGTGGGGCCCTTACTGGGCCTCAGGACCGTCAAAAAACGACTCGGGAGGACAAGCTGGTCCCGGGGAAGGGGTCCAGACCTCTGGGGGTCGACGTTGCGAAAGAGTCACGACGTCGGGCGGGGGTTTGGGATCGGCGGCGAGCTTGGGGGGGAACTGAGAAGGGATCCTAGATGGGGTCCGAGTAGATGGGGTCGGAGGATCGCGCCACATCGCCGATGCATCGACGGTGCGACCCGATGTGGAGCCCGATTTTCTCCGCGCCGGCGTCGCCGATGCGTTGCCGACGTCGACGATGCGTCGCCGGTGCATCCCCGATGCATCGCCGGTGCATCCCCGATGCATCGCCGATGCATCGCCGATGCATCGGCGATGCGACGCGGTCCTCCGACCCCATCTACTCCGACCCGCTCTAGGAGGCCTCTAATCATCGGCGGCCAGCCGGGGGGAAAGTGAGAGGGGGCGGGCCTTCTCAGAAGACTCGGAAGTCCCCCGGCCTTCTGGGAAGTCTTCTGAGCCTTCCCCGAAGACACAGGAAACCTTTCAGAAGGCCAGAGGGTTTCTGGGAAGCCCCACCGCCTTCTGCGAAGGCCTTCTCCTTCTCATTTCCCCCCTCGCTCGCCGCCGAGATCTGCCGATCAAGAGCCGATCAGCCCGCTGGTCCGGCCAATCCATTGATCTATCCAGATCGGGATGTTTGATCGGGCCCCCGATCAGAAGGGTGTTCTGCGTTTCGGGGCGCATCGGGCTAGCCAGATCGGGCTCGAACCAACTTGGATCGATGGGGGTGCTTATAAGGTCGGCTGCCCCGCCCGTGGGCAGATGTCGGGCGCGGGCGAATGCAAGGAACCTTCGGGTAGCAGCACCAGCGGCATGTGTTTCGCCACTGGCCGCTACGAGGTGGCCGCCGTGCTGAGAACCCCCCCCCCCTGGCGAGGAGATCCGCTCGTTCCCTCCCTCCAGCCAGCCAGGATCCCCATCGCATCTGGATGTACGTGCAAGGAGGAGGAACCATTGGGTTTAGGATGAAGGCTCCTCGGGCAAGACGAGAGGAAGGAAAGTAATTAGGAGGCGACGTGGAGGGGACTGGGAGAAAGAGGGGACGCGGAGGGAGGAGCACTTTGATTGATGAGCTTATGGGCCCCAGGTGGCGGCAAGCGCCTGCGAGCCAGGCTTGTGCAAGTGCGCCAAGCCTGTGGCCTCGGACGGGGAGAAGTCGCTCAAGTTCAAGTACGCAGACGTGAACGACGGTGTAGAGCTCAGGACACGTACCCTAGGAGAGTAAATGCCCGAACATGTTTACGAGCGGGCTCAGGCTCACGAATGGTTAGGACCAGGAGGAGCAGGAGGAGGACGCTCAAGTTCGCTAGTGTGAGCGACTGGGTGTACGCACCGTGTCCTGACAATATGTTCGAGTGTGTCCGGGTGGCATCCCATCAGAGATCCGTTGCGGCGCCATGGAGAAGGACGAAGGAGTCGGACGAGAAGGAAGAGGACGTGGAGTTAGTCGATGCGAACGACTGGCGAATCAGCTCGCAAGCCCGACTGGCATTGAAAAACAGATGTGCACACAATGAGTGCGGTTTCTTCAGGCCTCCAGGCTGGCCCCTCGGAGCCTTCCTGAGCTGTATCGTCTGGCCGTCGTTGCGGCTTCTCTGGGTTGTTTTGGGATCCTCTCGAGACTTTCGGACTGTCTTGGCAGTCTATTGGGCCATCTTGGGACCGTCTTGGGGGCTTCTTAAGCCGTCTTGAGGACCTATTGGCCCATGTTGGACGCCTTTGGGGCCGTCTTGGGCTGCTGGAAGCCCGGAAAGGCGGAAACGATAGAAAGGAGTAAAGACATATGGAAAATAAATTATTTGGGCTTCTTCGGGCCCGCTTGGAGGGCTTCTTGGAGCCACTTTCAGCCAGATCGGGGGCCTCTTGAGCCGTCTTGGGGCAATCGGGGGCTCTCTTCAAAGCATCTTGGACAAGCTTGGAGGGATCTTGAGGCCATCTTGGATCCCCCGCAGTTGTCTTGGCGCCGCCTGGAGGCCACAGAGCTCCGAGACGGACCCCTGGGGGCGTGGGATTTTTCAGGGGCGCTTGCAGCTCAGGAATGGGGTCGGCCTCTAAAAGCAGTAGAGGTAGACGGCCAGGCAACAGAGGAGCATCAAAGCACTGTGGTGGATCATTAATTTGCGCAGCGACGCGTTGCTTAGTAATGCTACGTGCAGAAACTCGATTGCAATGCTGTTCTCTGCATTGTAGTATTGCTCTAGAACGAAGGAGTTCACTTCGACCTCAACCTAAAGCAACGAGAATAACAAGAAAAACAAACAAACAAACAAACAAACAAACAAGCAAAAACAAAAGCAGCAGCAACAACAACAACAACCACAACAACCACAACCACAACCACAACAATAACAACTAAGCACTGCAACGCAAAGTTCAGCAAACCAAACAAAGGAATACCATGCAATCCAATGCAATGCAATGACGATTGCAAGTTTTTGTGTTGCAGGGCAAATCAAGACAAAGCAAAAGAACGCAAGCCAAAAAAAACAATGAACGATGTAGCCTGTGACAGGGTACGTCGTTTATTTGCATGGTTGAAGCCTGTTCTCGGCTTCAGCACGAGGGCCCGACTTAGGGCCGGGCTAGGCTCGTTCTCTGTGTCCTCGAAAGGACGGGAAGCTGGCTCGTGGAGCCAGAGGACCGGTGCGGCAACTGCGCCCAACTCAGTTCCAGTGAGCACGACTGCGAGGAGTGCGAGAGCTGCGTCTGGGACACCCGCACTTACAGAGGTGTCAAGAAGGTCGGCTGCTTCCCAGACGTGCACAAGAGGAAGGCGCGCGTCCTGAGCACGGAGGGGCGCTCCTACTTGCATGGCCGCGAGGCAGTGCAGGAGAAATTGCTCGTGGTCCCCCATTATCAGCTGTGGGATCCTCACGAGAGGCACGACCCTCTCGACGCAGGTGGAGGCGTCGACGAAGCGTCGGCTCAGGCAGAGCAGCCAGAAGGGGCGTGGGCGAGCGGGATAAGGATGCCCTTCCAGACGCGGCGTGAGCCGCTGTCGAGGTCAGCGTGGGTACAAGCGTACCAGGAGGTCGCCCCGCGGGTCCAGCGCGCGATGGATCGCAGTGTGAACCTTGCGATCGAGCTTCAAAAAGTCACTGGCAGCCTCAAGTGCTGGCAGCCTGGTGGCGACGAAGGCGATGACGTCCCAGGCAAGATCTTGAAGATCTACGCCGTGCAGAGGGGTTGCAGGGAGATGCAGCAATTGCAGCAGAGCATCGCCGCGGGGGTGACCTTCGAGGACAAGGTGGGCAACGAGCCAGTGACCTGTATAAAGAATGTCCCCGGAGGCGCTGGGGTCACGAGGGATGCGGCGGCAGACGCCGAGGCGACGGCGGCGAAGTGCAGCCAGCTGAACTGCTACGCGACGGACAAGAAGTTTACGGAGGCGATGAACGCCCTGCGCAAGCGGAACGTGGAGTGCCTGACCGAGGGTTGGGAGGAACCAACTGCCCAAGGGGGCGCCCAGGAAGGCGCCGCACCCCTGGCCGACCAGGCCGCCCAAGCGCCACAGGGCGCCCAGGACAGCGCTGTGCCCCCCGCCGACCAGGCGGCTCAGCCACCCCACGGCGCCCAGGGCGGGGCCGCCGCGCTGGCCGACCAGGCCGCGGCGCCGCCACCCAGAAGGGCAACGCTAGGGGGGGGGGGACAGGCTGAGTGGGGGACGCCTCGACCCCTCACCGCCCAGTCATCGCCGGCAGGAGCCCGATAGCCAGCCCCGCCCAGGCCTGTGCGGACTCGCTATCGGCGCACCTCGCCGGCATAGCGGCGAGGTGTCGCCGATTTCCCCTTGAGCTGGTCCACCCCTGGCGTCCCCCCTCACACTGAGATGCGCACACCCTCCTCCTCCTCCTGCTCCTCCTCCTCCTTCTCCTCCTCCTGCTCCTCCTCCTCCTTCTCCTCCTCCTCCTCCTCCTCCTCCTCCTCCTCCTCCTCCTCCTCCTCCTCCTCCCCACGGCCCGATCCCTCCCCGACTCGCCTCTGCTGGCTGCCAGCGGCCTCCCGGCGCTCCCAGGAGCGTCCGGAGATTTCTGGAAACATTCCATGTTTTCGTTGTTCGGAGCAGTTGCCAGCAAACCTCCGAGGGGCCCCAGAATTTACAGACAGGAACGGACCGCAAGCGGCGGAGATCCTGGCGAGGCTCAGTAAAACTAGAAGACAGGCTGCCGGCCCCACTCTCGGATGCCAACACGAGGTGGCAACCGCTTCCGAATTCTCACGAGGGCAGTATATTGAGCTCTGGTGAGCGAGACACGGCCATGCGCGATGGCTTCACACTCCTGGGGGGTCAGGCAGAACCAGTCCTCCCCGCATGGTGCCAGAAAACGTTGTTGGCCAGCGGCGACGGAGATGCTCCGAAGCAGTAGCCTGCTTCGGCGCCGGAAGCACGCCAAGAGGCGCGATCGAGCCCAGAAACCCATCAATAGTTCAGCGCAAGGTGATGTCTCACTGAGCAATCTACGGCGGCTCGCCGAACTTGAGGAGAAGGGAGATATAGAAGGAGACGAGGGAAAGGACAAGCCAGGAGCACTCGCGCCACATCCGACGTCCCACTTACCCCTCCTTCCCATCCCTTCCTGTTGTGGTCAATATAATCCTATTGCGAAGGCCATGCGGCCGAGGCCGCCGACCCTTAAAGGGAACGACGACAACGGCGGCGGCGGAGACGACGACGCTGACGTGGGTCAGAGTCCTCACGGATGCTTCTTGGGGTCTCTTCGAAGCGCTCTCGGGGGCCTCTGGGGGACAGTTCGGGGGCCTCTTGGGATCCTCTCGGGGGCCTCTTGGGAGCCTCATGGGGGCCTCCCACTTACCCCTCCTTCCCATCCCTTCCTACTGTGCTCAACATTCTCCGATTCGCTAATCCAGGTGTCGCATCATACCCTGACCCCTGCTTAGTACCTGCAGCGCCAGGTGGCCAGCCAGGGGCCAGGCAGAAGGACGGAGGGCGGGAACGAGGAGGACGCGGGGGAGGAGGGAAAGGAAAAAAGGAGGAGCAAGTCAAGGAGGACGATTAGGAGGAGCAGAGCAGAGCAGATCCTCATGGAGTCCCTGTCAAGATCCCGACCTCGAAGCTCGAAAAAAAACTTGACTGTACTCTGAGAGGGTTCCTTCGAAACCAGACGACTAACGATGCGAGCCCCTCTCAGGCTCACAGCAAAGACTGCACTGGCCGATGGGCGCCCCGATAGGCACGCAGCCCTCAGAGGGGGCCCATACATCAGGCGCGGCGACCTCGTCCTTTCCCCCGCCCACCAGAGCTCGCCCCCCGCCCCCCACTCCCGACGTGTCGGCCACCACGGCCTCGATTCGAAGGCATATTAATTACTGGGATCTCAGGAGCTGTTGTCACTGCGATACCTTCTGGAAGACAAACTGGGATCCTACTTACTGCCCGAGCAATCTGAGGAGGAGGAGGAGGAGGAGGAGAACAAGGAGGAGGAGGGGAGAGGAAGAGACAAGGAGGAGGAGGAGGAGGAGGAAGAGGAGGAGGACGATGACGACGACAATGACAAGTCGACGACGCGACGACACGACGACGCGCTGTGGGCGCCCCTCGCCTGGGGCCCCGGCCGCGCAACTCCCTCCTGGGCGGCGCGGTCCTTGAAGGCGGTGGCATGGCTTGCACCCGCGGAGGAGGTGGCCCACGGACTGGACAGTCCTCCTCCCTCCTTCCTCCTCTCTCCTCCTGCTCCTCCTCCTCCCACCTCCTCCACCTCCTCCTGTTTTTTCCTCCCTGCCCACCTCCTCCTCCTCTCCTTCCTCCTCCTCCCTGCTTCAGCTCCTCCCTCTCCTCCTCCTCCTCCTCTCTTCCTCCTCCTCCTCCTCCTCCTCCTCCTCTCCTCCTCCTTCCTCGCCTCCTCCTCCTCTGCCTCCTCCTCCTCCTCCTCCTCCGCCTCCTCGCTGTCTCCCTGTCTCCCTCCCTCCCTCCCTCGTCTGCCCCCTCGGGGGAGAGTCGGACGTGGCCAGGGCGAGAGCCGGCTCTCGGGGCGGTCTGGGACGCTCTGAGCAGGCCGCGGCGCCCGAGACATCCTCCAGAGCCGACGATTTTTGGAGCGTCGCGTAATGCGGGTGGCCAGTCGCGGCCGCAGCCCGCCCGCGACTGCCCGCCGCTGGCGCTTCCGCCTGCGGCTGTAAAAAAACAACAACAACAACAACAACAACAACAACAACAACAACAACAACAACAACAACAACAACAACAACAACAACAACAACAACAACAACAACAACGACAACGACAACGACAACGACAACGACAACGACAACGACAACGACAACGACAACGACAACAACAAAACAAAAACAAAAAAAAATGAGGTGGCGACAAATGCGGGGGCAGCGAGGGCTGCCGAAAAGGAGCCCTTTTAGGATCCCCGAAGGGGCCCTTGGGTCCCAAAAGGGGGCTTCTGAGGCCCGAAACGTGCACCTGTCCTTCCCCCCATTCGATTCGCGCCCAAATGTATCCTCACCCGATGTTATCCTCGTCCTGGCCTCGTCTCACAGATGTCGGGGGAGAGAGGGAAGCAGGACTCATGTCGAGTAGTGGCAGAGGGGGGGGGCGGGCAGAGGTCCGGTAGGCGCCTCGGCGAAGGCGCCCTTCGGGACGGCCGAGGACGGTCCGAGTGTAAAACAGCTGACGCTTCGCGGATCCCTCCCAGGGAGTGTTAATCATGCATGTGCGCACTCCTGGACCTGGTTCCTGGCAGCTGCAGCCCGCACCCCCCCTCACGCCGGTCCGCCCGCTTAGGTGCTGCTTAGGTCGCCGGCCCGTCGGCGTTAGGCAATTAGGCTTTTGCGCGGCCCGCTCGGACCTTACTCGCCGCTGGCGCTCTCGCCTGCGGCTGCGACGCAAAAAAACCCTCCCAGCGCATCCAGCAGCGAATATTATGCAGGAACTCGTCTTGACGAGGGATATGTCGCCGCGCCGTTTGTTCCAACGCGCGGCCTTACGCCTTAGGGAGGGCGCCGCGGCCACCAGGGCAAACGCCGCCTCGGACGCGGTGGGCTTCCCGTCCAGTTTGCCGCGGTGCCGGCTTCGTCTACCTGGGGCGCGGGATGCAAGACTTGCCGTGAGTTTGCGGTGGTGTCGGCGTCGTCCATCCGGGCGGCGAGAACAGACGGCGAGGCGACAGATGTAGCAACAGACAGACAAGCAATCACTCGCGCACTCCTCTGTACCATTTTCTTCGGTGAGATGCTGGGCGCCACGAAGGCCTTGAGGTTTGACTCCAGAGTTTTCGTGGCAACGGGGAACGTCCAGAAGGACCTTGTTGCAAAACCGATTCCCACCTCCCACCGACGATGGATGGGCCCACGCAGCAGAGCATCCACTTCATCCTGAACCGATACCCTGGCAGGTTGTCTCAGGAACTTCGCTGGGGCCACGCACGGGCAGTCGGCAAACCATCCAGAGACGATGGCCATGCTTGCTTCCGTGATGGGGGAGGTGTAGCAGCATGCAGCGGAACAGCCGCCCAGAAGGATGCGTTGAAAACCGAACCCGACCGCCTACGGAAAAGCCCGTACGGCTGAGCATCTTTTAACGTCCAGAACCGATGCAGAGGACGAGGAGGAAGAGGAGAAGGGGGAGGAGGACGCCTTCGCGGATCTCTTGCTTTGGAAGCCTTTTGGTGGACATTTGGGACTATCTTGGGGCCCCCTTGTGCCAAATGCCAGCGCTTCGTGGTGTTGCACAAGTGTTCGCACCTCAAAGACCGTGCCACCCTTGTCCATAACGGTCTAGACGTCCAGGTTGTTAGTTCCAACGAGTACAACACGCACTTGAAGGCCCAATGTGCCGCCCTCGCGCGTCTGGTTGCTTAGGCGTGGCAGATAGTCCTTTTCGGCCGCGCCGCTGTTCCTCCATCCCGTCTTTTTCTTGGTAAATAACTCCCCCCTGTCGAACGACCAGACGTGTCGATACTGCGGGCCAGGAATTTCGCCAGAGACTTACCCCCATTTTGTTATGATCCTCAAGCTAGAAATTTGCAACAGTTTCACGCATGGAGTGCAGATCGTGTTCAAAATGCGGTTTTCGATTTAGCGTTGCGCACAGTCGTCTTCAAAGCTTGCAGCAGCTTCAAAGAAGGAGGGCTGGTGGTTCTCAACATGTGGATCTCGTCTTAGCGCCGCGCATATTCATCTGATAAGCTTGCAGCAGCTTCACGGATGGAGGGCGGGTCCTTTGCACATTCCGGTTCCAGATTGAACGCCGCGCACATTTGTTTAAAAATTTTGCAACCATTTGTAAGATGGAGAGCAGGTCATTTTCAGAGTGTGGCTCTCGTCCTGGCGCCGCGCACATTCGCTTTAACGCTTGCAACCGTTTCACCGATGGAGGGTGGGTCCTTGTTTGGATTAAAAAATGTGGATTTCACGTTGGCGCCGCGCTCTTTCGTCGCAGAACTGCACCTTTGTTTTCAAGGGTTCGTATGGTTGAAGCCCCACGAATGGTGTTATGGCCCGATGTAAGGTTGCCAGGACGCAACAGTCACGTTGATTCGACGTGTTACACTCCCAGGAACGGCGTTCGAGATTGCCACGACGCAACAGTCACGTTGATTTGCGTCGCTGAACTGCCAGGAGTGATGGCTTGGCACGATTCAGGATTCCCTAGCGGTTGTCTTCAACGGGGCAATCCCCGCAATGAAAACTACAGATTGGCAGGGGCTATGAACAGGGAACCCCGAGGGAGGAGTTATTGCAACATCGTTTGTGCGCTTTGTGATTACAGTGGCCCCCCTCCTCCTCGCACGCACGCGGAGAGCCGAGTCGCCACAGAGACGAAGCTTGTTGAAGGCGCGAGCGCCCCTGCCTCATCCTCCTCCTCCTCCGTAGCCATGCTGGCTCAAGGCTAGAACGTTGTGAAGGGCTAAGAACGCCGGAGGACCGACGATCAGTTCTGGTACCTATCCGTAGCACCTCCCAAGCCCTTAGGGCTAGCCATCGACGGCGCCGTCGGCTTTTAACTGCCATCTCGCACTGCATTCGTGAGCTGGAAGCTCCCACAGCGCATTCTTGTCAAGATGAGCGTCCCACAGAGCTCGATTCGTCGTGTTATTCGCAGCATGGAATGTGATATTGTTTGGCATGTCAATTTCCAGGGTGCCAGCTCACATTGGTTTGGCATGAATCGCGGTCTCAAGCAGGGGTGCCCCATGAGTCGCGTTCTCTACATCTTCGTGGCAGACCCCCTTTCATCTGTCTCAAGCACTCGCTGGGGCCCGTCGTTCCTTCCCAATTGTTCGGCTTCGCTGATGACTTGGCTATATGTTCGGTCAATATGTTCAAGGCTCTCCCAGCATTTATCCAAGGTCTCCGATTCGTGGGCTCCAAATCTGGCACTCAAGTGAACCTAGTAAGACTGTCACCATCATCCCAATGACTTCGATCAGGCCCTCATTTCCAACTCGTCCGCGAAAGCGGCCTCAACATCTCGATCTTCAAGCTCGCGAAGTGTGGGAAATATCTTAGGATTCAAATCGGCCTTGGGGGAAATAGATGCACGTTGGGTCCCACCTGCCTCCTCTCTTGTGCGTTGCGCGCCATGGGTCCCAGTTTCTCGCTTATTTTTGTCGCGCACAATACCCTCGCATCTCCTGCCATTGCTCGCTCTGGCGTGAGAACCGACATCGGTGGTTTTCAAGGCTGAGGGGCAAGGCGTCGAGTTGATGCACGCCTCGCCCTTCAACTCCTTCAGGATGAAGAATACGCATTCCATCGGCTTCAAACCTCAGATCAAGGATCCAGTCACTGCCTTTCATGCTGCTGCGTACTGGTGTGCCGGGAGTTCCATTGCCCTGATCCGCATGCGAGAGAGATTCCATCCAGGGTTGATTATGATGATTATGTCGCTGCGTATAAGGCTCAGGATCTACATCGGCACTCTATCTTCTGCTTATCTCATTAGGAAAACTAGGATCCTTGGCGTGCTCGAGAATACCCCAGGTGTGCCTCAACGTCCAGCTGCAACCCGTCTCCAGGCGAAGACTCAAGCTGCTCTTGCTCGTCAGTTTCAGCGCGAGCCAATTCAGGTGCAGCTTGCCTCTCGGCTCCGCCGCTGGTCCACCCATGTCTCGTGCCAGGAGGTGGTTCTGACTACCCTGAGGATCCAGAATATTGCCCGAAAGCTTCCCCCCGCATCCTCTCGAGCCTCTTGAAGACTCGGGTTAATTCATGGAACTGTACTCAAAGGAATGGGGCGGGAACGCAGAGGTGTAGGACGGGATGCTGCGCTATCCGTGGTGACCATCACTGTCACTATCTGCGGTGCCCTGCACTTCAACCTCTGATTCGGGCCTCCGGTCCACTTCTTCCTACCTCATGAGAATCAGCCAATGTTTCCCCCAACGGGTTCTAGGTCAGAGTGATCTCAGAGCTCCCGAGGAGCTCCTAAGTGTTGCTCTCGCTGCTGACTGTATGTGCTCCAGGTTGCCCTCAGTCAGGAAGGCAACACAGCAGTTCGCAGGCACACCGCCGCCCGACGGTGATTCCAGGCGCGCATCAGCCCATCCATCCGCTCTCAGTTGACTACCTGACTTTCTTCTGCTTGTTGGTCTTGACCGCCTGCGTTCGTCCCTTCATCTGTCTGAGTCCTCATCCTCCTCCTCCTCCTCCTCCTCCTCCTCCTCCTCCTCCTCCTCCTCCCTCCTCCTCCTCCTCCTCCTCCTCCTCCCCCCCTCCTCCTCCTCCTCCTCTCCTCCTCCTCCTCTTCCCTCCTCCTCCTCCCCCTCCCCCTCCTCCTCCTCCTCCTCCTCCTCCTCCTCCCCCTCCCTTCTCCTCCTCCTCCTCCTCCTCCTCCTCCTCCTCCCCTCCTCCTCGTCCTCCGCCTCCTCCTCCTCCTCCTGCCCTCCCCTCCAGCTCTCCCCATCCACCCCTCCTCCTCCCCAGGGGGCTCTTTGCGGGCAGTCGCGTCTCGGCCTGCGGAGGGAACCCCCCGCCTTTTCTCCCACCCCCATCCATCCCTTCTTCCCACCGCATCCCAACATCCCCCCACACATCTGCCCCCTCTACTGGCCCAATTCTCCCCGCCCCAACCCCCCCACGCGAGCCCAGGCAGTCCACTCGGCAGCGGCGCCTTGCCCCGCGCCTTGGCTACCTTGGCCGCGGCCGCCGCGGCGCGGCGCCCCCGCCGCGCGGGACCACCGCGCCCCGCTCGGCGGCGCCCGCCGACGGCCGAGCGAACGGCGAGCCCTGCGGCTGTCGCCGGCTTCGGGGCCCGAGCTGCCCCGGCGAGTTGCGAGCCGCGAGCCTCCGTGGGGCGCAGAGGGGCCGAGGAAGAGCAGCGGCGGCAGCTGATCGAGGCGGAGAAGGGGGAGGGAGAGGAGGGGGGGCGGGTGGGGCGCGCGCCGTGTCGCAGGATCGAGCCGCAGAAGGGGCGGGGGGTTGGAGGAAGAGGCCAGGGGAAGCGAAGGCTCAGGCATGCGGTCGCGGAAGTGGCACGCGCACCGCGGCGCCACCCGCCTCTGCCCGAGCAGGAACCCCTTTCGTTGGCTTCAACAGCCTGGCTGAGGGAAGTCCCCGTGGCGGCGTAGCGCCGCCGGGACAGCCATGTCCGTGGGCGGCGAAGACCAGGAGGAGGGGGAAGAGAAGGGGAAGGGTGAGGAGGAGGAGGAGGAGGAGGAGGAGGAGGAGGAGGAGGAGGGGAAGGGGGAGGAGGAGGAGGGAGGAGGAGGAGGAGGAGGAGGAGGAGGAGGAGGAGGAGGAGAGGAGGAGGACGGGGAGGAGGAGGAGGAGGAGAAGGGGAGGAGGAGGAGGAGGAGGAGGAGGAGAGGAGGAGGACGGGGAGGAGGAGGAGGAGGAGGAGGAGGAGGAGGAGGAGGAGGAAGAGGAGGAGGGGGGCACGACGACGACGGCGGCGGCGACAAAGATGACGACGAGAAGGCACAGGATGAAGAGTAGGGGGGTCAAGTTTTGGATCAGGAGCGGGAGGGAGCGAAAGGTGGAGCAGCAGCAGACGGCGGAAGATGAGGGAGGACGAGAGCTGAGGAGTCGGAGGGGGGGCAGCAGCAGCAGCTCCGGACACCGAGGTGCCCGCCTCCGCCGCGCCGCGGCGCTGCGCGACTTCCTCGGGACGGGATGACGTGCGGACGGGCGCCAGGGCGTACGCGTGACTTTCGCAGCGGCCGCCCCGCGCAAAGGCCCGCAAGCGAGAGGGGGGGCGGCAGGCAAGGCAGCGCCGCTGGAGGAGGGCCAGGAAAACAGGGGACTCGGAGGCGACGATAGAAGCGAATAGCCCAGCGGGGGGGGGAGGCAATACACGTATTCGTCCAGGAGCTTCGCCGAAGGCATAGACCATCGGCGCGGTTGGATACATGTATACCTATCCCCTGGGCTATTCGTCCCCATCGTCAGTCCCGAGGGACGAGGAGCTGGAGAAGTGCGAGCAGGAGCAGGAGGAGGAGCAGGAGTACGGGCAGCAGAGAGGGAAGACGGAAGAGGAGGAGTGGGGAAGAGAAAGAGAGAGAGAGAGAGAAAGGGAGGAGGAGGAGGAGGAGGAGGAGGAGGAGGAGGAGGAGGAGGAGCAGCAGGGAAGAGGTGGCAGGGTGCAGGAGGGAAGCAAGAAGGCGTTCGAGAATGCTCAGGTGGAGGTGGAGGTGTGGCCTTCCACCCTCTGGGGGCCCACCTTGGGGCTTACATGCAGGGACCCAGCAGGTGGGCCCAGCGGACCACAAGGGTGACAATGAGGATGTGGGAAAGAAGGAGATGGTCGGCGGCGACCGAGGGGGAGAAATGAGAAGGAGAAGGCCGTCTCAGAAGGCGGCGGGACGTCTCAGAAGCACTCGAGCCTTCTGAGAAGTGTGTTGTGTCTTCGGCGAAGGCTTAGAAAACTTCCCAGAAGGCCTAGGGACTTCCGAGCCTTCTGAGAAGGCCCGCCCCTTCTCACTTCCCCACCTCGCTCGCCGCCTAGACGGGGGGAGGAGGGGATGGGGGGAGGGGATAGGGGGAAGGGGCGTCGTCATGGGAGGAGGGACGACTTCATGGCGTCTTGCCAGCGCAGTAATCGGAAACACGCGCACACGCCCGCCTGCACGAGCCCGCGTGCACGCAGGCACGCACACACTTGTGCTGCATGCTGCGGCCAGGCGCGCGGTGGCAAAATCTTCCCCGATAGACACTCACGGCGTCAGTTGCAGCACATGTGGCCGTCGCAGTTGTTGCCACAGTTTGTTTCAAAGATGGGCTCCATTGCCATGGGTCTGCTGAGGAAGCGTAGGGTACTGTTGGCAGCTTGGGAAGAGTGTGCGATCCATGTCAAGTGTGTTGGCGGCAATCGGGCTCGCTTGGGTCGTGGTGACGCCCATCATAGCGCAATCAGATTCGCACAAGCAGTGCGTACACTCGCTGTCGACTCTTGAATGCAACCGGCACCATACGATGTGATTTGCTTACTTTCGCAGGTGCGGATCGTTACCGAAGAGGCGGGATACATATGATTTCCGCCGCATGCCATTGCCTCAGCAGCGCTCAAGCGTTGTCCAACTCATGCCATCCCTCAGATACTAATCGATCGTCATGCAGTTCAGCACAGGTATAAGTAACGGTGCTTTGAGGTGGCGTTCTGAGTCTTCCCTTGACAGCTTATCTGCAAGGGACCTATCTAATTACTCTAAGGCCAGAGGGCGCGTTGTCTCTGGTCGTGGTCTGGTCTGGTCGTGGCCCACGGTCTTTGATCTGGCCTCTGGTCGTGGTCGTGGTCGTGGTCGTGGTCGTGGTCTGGCCTGGCCGTGACCGTGGTCTGGTCGCGGTCGTGGTCTGGTCATGATCTGTGGCCCGTGGTCTCTGGTCGTGGTCTAGTCGTGGCCCGCGGTCTCTGGTCGTGGTCTCTGGTCTTGCTCCCGCAGTCTGCGGTCTCCCGTTCTGTGGTCCCGCGCACGGCACGGCATACACGCCGGCCGTGGAAAGTAGGTATTTTCGGATGCCCAGATCTTGATCTGTTGTGATGGCCTCTGGCGCCAGTTCCGGATTCGGTGATCTTCGCGGCTCCGTGGCTTCCTCCCTCCTCGATTCTTCCGGTCCTCTTTCTTCTCCTCTGGGGGGGTGCCTGAAGCGGTCCCGGGGAGGGTCCGGGGAGGGTTCCGAGGGGAGGGTCCTGGGGGCGGTAGCGGCTAGATCTGAAGGGGGTCACCGGGACCCCCCGAAACATCTTGGGCATGCGCAAATCATTAGGAAAACGCCAGATGGGGTACTGCCCCCCCCCCCCTCCCCCCTTCTCCGGGAGTGGTCCGCATGCGCAAATCATGAAGAAAACGCCAGATGGGGAACCGCCGCCCCCCCATCCCTTCCCCCCCTTCCTCGGCAGAGCCACCCCGGCCACCCCCCCCAAGCAGAGCTGAAGCTCTTGCTTGGGCTCAGAGCTGACGCTGTTGCTGAGGCTCCTTGTAGTTCACACGCCGGATCGGCGGATTTTAGGCGCCTTCCTACTTCTCGAGTCGAGCGAATTTCCTTCTTCCCTCCTCTTCAGGGAGCGGGCGGAAGCCCAATCTACTTCCAACGCCTTCATACTTTCTGCTTCTACCCACTTCTTCCGACTGGCGCGTAGGGTAGTACAGTATGGCGTTGCACCAGCGTAGTATGGCACAGCACACTACGTCCACATGTTCAAGTGGCTTACGCCATTCCGCCAACCCGCACAAGGAGTGAGTGTTCGAGACGATCGTGGAAGTTATGTCTTGGGTCAGGAGACTCTTGGATGCATATGATGGGCTCTTGGGGTGCTTCTCGGGGGCCTCTTGGAGGGTTTGGAGGGGCATCTGGGAGGCTTCGCGGGGCCTCCTGGCGGCCTCTGGGGGACTTATTGGGGGCGTTTTCAAGGCCTCTTGGGGCCTCTGGGGGGCTCGGGGGGCACACGCCTATTCACCCCCTGCAAGCGGGGGTCGGCGGATGCACTCTAGAGCGCTCCGCGTCTTAACAGATGTGTTACTTGCGACTCCCCCGTGGAAGCCTTGCGACACGAAACGAAACGAAAGAGTGCTTCATACCGTATATGATAAGCTGTTTAGGGCACTCTGCTGCCAGGGGTGTGAGGTTATGGGGTCCTCGGCGGGGCGAGACCCTCGACGGGACGACGGGCCTACCAGCTATACCACAACGAGATTTGCCAGTCGGGGGTCCACTTGCTGGTGGGTTTTTGTGAATAACCCTGTGCTGAAGTGTGCTTTGAAGGAAGGGCTGTCGAGCTTCTGCCCTTCCCTTTTCCCCACCCCCTTTTCTCGTTCATCCTACCCCTCCTTTTCCTCGTTCCCCCCCTCCTCCCACTCCCCCTTCCCCCCCTGCGGAGTGAGTGTCCTCCACCTCTCCATTCCACCTCCCCTCCTCCCCATCCTCGCCCTTGTCTTGCTCTCGTCCTCCTCCCAGGACTGCGCCTCCCTGCTGTTCCTGTCTCTTCCTCTCGCTGCTACTGCTACTCCTCCTCCTCCCTCCCCCTCCTCCTCCTCCTGAGTACTTCCCCTCCCTTGAGGGGGCAGAGAGACACACGAATAAATAGACACAAATCCCTGGAGCTCCTTCCTGATATGTTCCATATGTCCTGGATGTTCGTTCTCCCCACCACTTCCCATATTTCCCATATTTTCTTGGGAATCGACGATTATTTGTGTCTGCGTGTTTTCGTCACCTCCTTATCTTTAAATCACCATTTCAGCGCCCAGGGCCTCCACAGGCAAACGCCGTGCGCCAGAACCCCTCCTTTCGCGGTCCTGGGCGAGAGAGCTCCAGAGACCTGGGCCCGGACCAAAACGAACCAGAACGAAAGCGGCGCTGTCCAGATAGGAGGACGAGCACTCGACGAGCAGGAGGATCGAGAGGAAAGAGCCATATCGGACTTTGCTCCCGCCTGTTCCCCCCCGGCGGGCGGCCCGCTTTGGTGCGCGCAGTCACTGCGGCAGCGCATGGTCATCTGGTGTACACTGGTACCCTCCACTCGCTGCAGTGAATTACTACATTGTGTGCCTCCAGGGCTGTATCGAGAACGACGGTAGTCGCGAGAAATTCCAGGTTGGGATGTCCAGCCGCGCGGGCACCACACTGGAGAACCACAAAGCCGCGATCATAATTGGCAGCACAGGCAACAAACCCAGCTCCCCAGAGACTGGTCATTGTCCCCCAGTATCGCTTTTCGGAACATCACGGGAACATCATGTGAGTTCCCACTCTCAGTGTTTCGGCGTTTGGTTGGCCATCCTCTCCAACACCTGCCACACTCAACCCAATGGGGCAGGCCGACGTTGTTTTGCCATCACGGAGCCGCACACACACACACACACACACACACAGACAGACTGACTGACAGACAGACAGACAGACACACACGCACACACGTACGTACACACACACACACACCGCTTGGTAGGGAGCAGAACGGCTTGCGAAGTTCATGCAAAGCCACATTTGCCATCCTCGTGATTTGGTCCTGCACTTCTCACAGGCGACTTGTTTCTTGTAACGGCTCCGCCAATGTCGCCACCTGCATGTCGGCCGCTCCTCTTGCGCGCGTGCGCACTGCCGTCCTGCACCCCTTTTTGCGTGTAGTCGGAGAAGAGCTCTCAGCCAGAGCTCCCTTGATTTTGGCGAGCGGGCGGATGCAGGCCACAGGCCTTCTGAACCACGCGTCTGTGAGAATGACTGCTGCGTTCCGTGCTTCAGCGTTGCGGCGATTGCTCGGCCGTCTTCTTCAGGATCTGGGGGAGGAGGCGACAGATCGCCCCGCCCACCCACGACCTACTCTGCCACAGCCGCGCGCCCATGAACACGCTTCGGCGCACGGTGCGCTGGCGCGCGGTGCGCTACAAGGGGGCTCTGAGAGAAGACCCAGGCAACCTATAGGGAGATCACCCAGGGGGCCACGAAGCTTCTGCGGGCAAGTCCCAGGCCCACCTTCCTTGCCCTTGCTTCCGCGAAGCCACGGCGGCCCAGTTGCCCTGGCCCCACATGGCAAACCCATCGCGCGACCTGCGCGAGAACGCCGACAGGCCGTGGAATGGCAATGCGGCGTTTTCCCCGCGAAGCCGTCCTGCATGGATACGAGGACTACGAAGGACAGTCGCGCCGCTAACGCACCTGCGGCATCGGCGAGCTCGGCGACCCCATCGGCCGAGTCCAGGCGCGTCCGGTGACCATCGCGCTCGCCCGATCCATC